ATCTCCTTTTTTTTTCTTTTCCTTCTTTTCTTTTCTTTTCTATTCTTTCTACTTCTCTGGCCGCCAACAGAACAATGCGACCAGTAGTGTGATAACCTCAATTCTCATCTGGACTTCGTCAGTCAGATTTTCGCCAATTATCAGAGTGGGTGGTCGTCCAGCAATTACGACCAACCTTTCCGATAATATTGTTTCGCTCTTATCACCACATTCTAACAAAACCCAGACATTGTCTAACGATATCTTTCCCTCGACAAAGACTTAACCTATTTTCCTTTGTTTTCTTTAGCTCGTGGATGGTCAGGCAGTCCCGTGACACAGTTAAATGTTTATCTATTCTGTCCCGGAGTTTAGCTAGCCGATCTGGAATTTGTCAATTAGATTTTCGCCAGCACCAAGTGGCTGTTATCTATTCCCGATAATATAAGTCCGCCACCACGACACAGTCAATTTTTATCTATTTAGAATTTTCTGCAATGGCAATGAAACCTTTCACCATTTCCTTTTCTTTGCTTCCCAAATGATGTCACATATATGGCAATACATGTATACACATTATATATATATATATATATATATATGCATACACATTATATATGTGTGTGTGTGTGTATATGTGTGTGTGCTTTTCATGCTTGACGCAATCGTCAGGCCGCCTGACGATTGTGTCCAGCATGAAACGGCCTGTCGCCTCTTTATATTTATATTTACATACGTTCTGTCTCTGATATTGAGCACTTTATCCCATAAATATAGCACACCTTAAAACTATATTTCTTCCCCCCATATATATATATATATATATATATATATATATATATATATATATATATAATAATATTCTGATAATATTAAATGGTAACAAAAAATTGAAACTCTGAGTTTTATGCTCTAAGCCAAAATACATATATATATATATATATATATATATATATATATATATATATATATATATATATATATATATATATATATTCGTACAAAACATACATACATATATATATATATACTGCATATATATATATATATATATATATATATATATATATATATGTATGTTTTTTCTTTAGAGCATAAAACTCAGCGTTTCAAATTTTGGTTAACATTTTAATATTATCATAGTAAATAAATATATATATATTAAAATATAGTTTTAAGATGTGCTATAGTTATTTGTTAAAATATTTAATATCGGAGCATTGTTAAATGACATGAAGATTGCGTTTAAGCTTTACACGTCGCTTGGCGTTGATCTCATATATATATATATATATATATATATATATATAAAAAAGGGTTTTTCGAGTGATTAGAGGAACTGTTTTGTGTCAATTGGTCTCGCATAAATAGTAAATGGCTTCGCCGAAGAGAAACGGCAAACTGCTGAATTTGCCTCAAGCAATAGTTGTTGTTGTTGTTGTTGTGCAGGAAGCTGAAGTGGGAGGGGTTGGAGGAAATCTAAACTAGGAATTTAAGTCTTAGCGTTGAATACTGGTCGGGTAAACGAGTGAAGCGCTCAAGTGTTCGTCTCTTAATCCCGATCTGTAATCGCCTTTCCGCCATTCTGAAGCCGGGTGGATCATGGTAGAACGCGTGAAAAGGAGCAGATGGTTTGCGGATTTAAAATGAAGACACATGATTTCAAAGGAAAAAAATGTGCGCACACGATCGACACTTATAACAGCTGAACTGATCTATCTATCTATTTATCTATCTATTATAGCCTATTCATATGTATTTCGGATTGCTTCTATCTATCTATCTATCTATCTATCTATCTATCTATCTATCTATCTATCTATCTATCATTGCCTATTCAAATGTATTTCAGACTGCATCTATCTATCTAACTATCTATCTATCTATCATAGCGTATTCATATGTATTTCGGATTGCATCTATCTATCTATCGATCATAGCCTATTCAAATGTATTTCAGACTGCTTCTATCTATCTATCTATCATAGCCTATTCAAATGTATTTCAGACTGCTTTTATCTATCTATCTATCATAGCCTATTCAAATGTATTTCAGACTGCATCTATCTATCTATCTATCTATCTATCTATCTATCTATCTATCATAGCCTATTCAAATGTATTTCAGATTGCTTCTATCTATCTATCTATCTATCTATCTATCTATCTATCTATCTTGTCAGTAAGTATCGATCTGATGGAAAAGAAAACATAGGAGATATATAAAATATAGCGTGAGGCTTATTTTCTATTTTGACTTTTTGACTTCTCGGCCGCCTGACATTATTCTCATTGTTTAAAATAACAAAGGTATTATCTCCATCACGAGTATCCACAATAAATGGCATATTAATAAATTCTTTCTTTCTTTCTTTTCTTTTTTTTTCTTTCTTTGCTTGTTAATCTGTTCTTATCTATCGAGGTAGCTATTGCAACCAGTTCATATATCTATCTACTTCATGCCGTTCATTATCTATCTATCTATCTATCTATCTATCTATCTATCTATCTATCTATTTAAGTTTGTTCATAATACACGTACTCGTAATTGTGTGGAGCAGTGATCAAGTCTGAAAATACAATCACTGAATTGAATTCGTATAACAGCTCAGACTTCTGTCCTTTCTATTTTAATGTGTTTGTGAAAGGAAGCCGATTCTTTGGTCATCTTCTTTTAACATTTGTTGGTAGACAAATATTTTTAAAACATTAGCGATTGGATGCTTGAAAAATCTACTAGACCCTAAATTACCTTATCTGCTCAGAAAATGATACGAGAATGCTTAATTCATCCTTTGTAAGGCTTAACAGATAAAAGTTAGAATTATTATATACGTATGCATTTAGCCAGTTTAAAGTTTTTGTATAATGTGTGCTATTCTGTGTTGTGTTCACTGTGATACGAGGTTCACTGAAGATCAAATGTCCCCGCAGAGAAGAACGAGGCCCATATGTAAAGTATCTTGTTGGTAAGTGGGAAATAAAAACAATGGGGACTGCTGTACCCTTATCTTATGTAACTTAATTGGTAACGCCGTTTAGCGGTTGTTGGAAGCGTTCTTTGACAGACAAGTGGGATAATTTGACATTTTCTCAGATGTCTTAAAATAGACACATTTCGGTGATACTGCTATTTCCAATCGGTTCAGGAATTATTGTAAAATACTTTCCCCTTCCCAGTTTACAGGAAGAAGCACACAAATGCATGCTGGGATTTCTTCGCAGCCAATAAGATAGGTCACTTATTTGAGTCAATTCCAGTCTGTATTATCTTGAAGTGAGGACGCTATGTTCGTTTGTCCAAACTTGCTTTTGTGTGTCAGCCGCAATACTTACTTTATGAATTTTTTTGCCTTATTACTGTTGTTTTGCCTTATTATTGTTGTTTTGCTTTGCAGATATTGTTTGCTTGCTGTATATTATTTTTTGCTCTGTTCTTTTCTGCACTTTTCTTATTATAGCCTATTGCAAACTTTGTCAATTCTGTTTATTAGACAGTCCTGACATTTATTTACATGTAACCATGACTGTTGTAGGTAATGCTAATTTCTGAATTTACATTATCTTTCTATCTGTCTTCATATTAAATGCATAAGTTTTATTTCCGACTGTTTTTATTTTTATTTTTCTAGCCAATAAATTAGCTCAGTTCTCAGTTTCATCTGATTCAGTCCCGGTCTGTCTAGGCTTGAAGTCATAATGTTATGTTCATTTGTCTGATCTTGTTTTTGTGTGTCAACCCCAATTCTTTGTGAATTTTTTCCATATTACAGTTGCTTTGCCTTATTACTGTTGATTTGTCTTGCATATATTCTTTGCTTGTTGTATTTATTTTTTGCCCTGTTCTTATCTTTTCTTTTTCTCGTTACTGCTTATTACAAAACTTTGTCAATTCTGTTTCTTAGGCAGTTTACATTTTAACCATGGTAACTCACTTTACAGCTGTATTGATAAAAAAAATCTAAAAAATATTTTAAACAGCCAATTGAATAATATTTGATATTTTTACTAACAATTATCAACTTGATAATATAAATTTAAATTCAATGTTAGAACTTTAATTTATATGAAAATGGTTGCTGGCTAAATCAATGTGGCACCATGCATACCTGACGATTTGAAAGAAATATTCATAGATATATGATTTGTTTTTTACGGTTTATCAACCATTTAATAATTATTTAAGGCCGAAAAATATTTTAGGTTTTAAGAATAATTCTTTCTTTACATTCAAGCGTTCTGGGAGAAAGAAAGAGAAAACGAAGAAGAAAGAAAGAAAAAAATATACGAAACGGGTCATAGGCGAGCCCACACACTCACGGCTAGAATTGATACATAGCAGATGTAGAAAATATCCAGGTCACCTACGAACAAGCATTTGACCGATTTCCGCGTGTCCACGAAAAATGGAAGTTTGTTATCAATTGGATGTCACCCAAGGGAAAAGAAAGAAAGGAGGAAAAGAAGAAGAAAAAAAAAACTCGAACGAAATTTTTTTATTTCGGTAAGTGACTAAAATAGAGATAATGGAATTGTGTTGTCAAGAAATGTTCGCCAAAGTAAAGTCCATTTGAAAACGTTAATGTTTTGACAAAACACAGGTGTGGCTACAGAACCGTAGTTAGATATGAAAAATTAAAATCCCACACAGGCATTCTCACCGACCGGATTCTCTGCGATAATAGAGATTTTTGTTATTAGACCTTCGAGCGAAAGGAAAATGGAATATTTTTATTTCGCTTCAGAAAACGCCAGCTAGCCTAGAAAAATCCTTTCTTGGGCCATGTCCAATTAGCGATAGATTGCTTGACAAATACCACGTGTTAAAAAGCCGAGAGTGTCATCTCGGTCGCTCATGATAAGGGCGATTTAATTAATATTTTTGTTTTTTAAGCAAGGTATTTCTTTCCCAAAACAAAGCCACGGATTGTTCACGCCCGACTAAGACGTCATTGGCCAAATAGATCACATGATACACGAAGGAGGAGGAAAGATACTCGACCAAGACGTCAATGGCCAAATAGGTCACATGACGTACGAAGGAGGAGGAAAGATACCCGACCAGGACCTCATTGGTCAAGAGCGGTCACGTGACGCACGAAGAAAATCAGTCGACGCCTCTATCAGAAGTGTAAGTGTGAGGAACCGATACGAAGAAGTGGGGAAGTTGGTACACGCCCCTCAGAGGCACAGTAAGGGAGTGGAAGTGAGAGGAGAGTTACCGAAAATGGAAAAGAATGAAAAATCCCTAACCAGAAATAAGAAGGGTGGATACGTATTTAGAATTATCGAAGAACCCCTGGCGCCGACAGACCCACCCCAGTTTTGACGGCGTCAATAAAAGTGAAACCCCAACCGACAGAAATCAATTCGTTCGACCCAAGCCGGAGAGAAGAAGTTTGAGTCAGCCGCGGACTCTGGCGAGAAGTTTTGAGCCTTGGACGACAAGCAGAGATGAGCGCCCAGTGTTGAAACCGCATCAGATAGCTGACCAAGATTCACGCACACTTTTGGACTCTTCTTCAACCAAGAACAAGTAGTTTGAAGAGCGACTTAGAATCAGACCACAGAAATAAGTTTTTCGACTTTCGTCCAAAGACACACCAAAACACAAATTTCTTAGAGAGCAGACAACTTGAAGCCTTAAAGTTGCCTAGTGAAAGCGTCGTGCCACAATCCACAGGACGGGTCGGGAAGTAGACATAGTCCTATGTACCGAACAAATAGACATAAAAAGTTTGTTACCTTTTTCTTTGATACTTTGGACTTTGTGAGTTTTCATTTTATTTTCTTTTATACATAATTGTGTGTTATCACCCCCGTTGAACTCAGCTTGCATTACATCCCCGACCCCTGTTTGATCTCGTCTGTCTAAGATCAATTCACAACGTGGGTAGGCAGACTGGAGATCAGTGCAGTTACCCTGGTAACAAGGCGTTTGAAGCAGGTTGGGAACGGCGAGACTGGTATCAATCTAACCAGATTCCTACCCGGATCATAAAAGGGTTAGAACGTCACGTTTGGAGCAGCGAGGAGCGAACAGCTGGCGCCGCGGCGAAGACGTCACAATTGGTGCTGTTAGGGACGTCACAACTGGCGCCGTGGTAGATCAGGATAGAACGACACAGTCGGCGCTGCGACCGGGGGACGACGTCACATCAATAACAAGTTGGGTACAAAAAACTCTATATATTATGAATAATATTTTTCTGTCCCCCCTTTTTTCTATATCTTCTCATTGTCTCCCTCATCCTTTTCAATCTTTGTTTAAATTTTCTGTTGGTTCAAATATTGAAAGGGAATGACTTTAAAACATTCTCCCCTCCCCAATTTATAGGCAGAAGCACACAAATGAATGCTGGGATTTCTTCCTAGCCAATAAAATAAGCCAGTTCTTGGTTTCATCTGACTCAGTCCTGGTCTGTCTTGAAGTCAGAACGCTACATTCGCATGTCTAAACTTGCTCTTTTGTGTCAACACTAATTTTTAATTTGTGAACTTTTTGCCTTATTACTGTTTGCTTTGCCTTATTAGTGTTAATTTGCCTTGCATATATTGTTTACTTGCTTTATATTATTTTTTGCCCTATTCTTTTCTTTTTCTTGTTATTGCTTATTACAAACTTTGTCAATTCTGTTTGTTAGGCAGTTCTGCCATTTATTTACATTTAACTATAGCCACACTCACTCTACAGACACTGCGTAAAGATTAAATGGAAGACAGTTTAAAATGTTTGGAGATGTTCTTAAGCACATATAAAACAAAACTAAAAAAATAAAAATAAAAATAAACAGAGTTTACTTGATGTAAGTAAAACGAAAAAAAAAAAAGAAACAAAAGTTTACGAGAAGAATGGTGTAAACACTTCTCATCATGTTTTTACGGTGGATTAACGCTAGCCTATTCGGTTTTATGCAAATATGAGCTGGTCGCTAAATGGTACAATACCTTCAAACGAAAAAAAAAATCCGCTGCACAAACCTTCAATTTTGATGCCTTAGGCACGGGCTTATTTTCACTTAGCGTGCGATATTAAAACGACCAAAAGAATGATATTAATGAAGATAAGCGTCGAAAGGAAGCGAAAAGATTAAATCAGAAGTTAATACAAAGAAAATACAGTAAGAACAGTTAGAGGGCTTAGCGTGAAGTCTTCAGCCAGCAGCGCAAAAACGGTAAGATCAAAGTTTCTAGACGAGAGGAAAAGAGGAAACGAGTGTTTCCGAATTTGGTCGGGTGGCGTGTGTTGATAGGCGGGGATTAGAGTTCAGGTATGCAAGTGAATATAAGGTTAATAGAAAGGATATGCGTAGTTTTCGGGCATTCGTTTGTCTACATTGAGACTGAAGTGGTTCGATAAAGAAATATAGAAATTCTTGTCACTGGCGATGAAGCGATCGAGAAGCAAGGAACAAAAAAACAAAACAAAACAATAGTCACGTTTCTTTCTTTGAGAATAAGTGATTGAAGAAAAAAAAAATGTCAATCGTTACAAAAACATTTGATTGGATTGTTTTGTTT